TGAAGGTCAGCCTCTCTGCCTATAAGGCCCAAACTGCATTAGGCCTTATTAGGCTTATTTGGCTCAAAGTGCATAAGAGCTTCTTGTGCTTATGTGTTCTTGGACCCGCTCATTGCCGCTTGCGGCTATATTTTTTATTATTATTATTATTATTATTATTATTATTATTGCATACTTTGTTAGCCCCCTTTTATCTGGTTCTTACACAGCAGCATTGCTAGTTTTGAACACCTCAGTGTCGCTGCTGGACTGAGAACCAAAACCAAGCCAAATATATCCAACCAATAGCATACTGTGGGAAGCGTCCTGTGATCACTGACCACTAGAGGATAATTAACGCAAACTGTGTAGCAACAGATGAGCTACTGTCTCTGACTTTACGTTTACAAGGTAGACCAACAAGGTAGGTGTGTCTAATAAAGTGGAGAGTGAGTGGACATGGTGTTTAAACACTGCAGCAGCACTGCTGTGTTTCATCCACTCGTACCAACGCAACACACACTTCAGCAACACATCAGTGTCCCTGCAGTGCGGAGAGTGATCCACTACCAAAATAATACCTGCTCTTTGGTGGTGCTGTGGGGGTCCTGACCATTAAAAAATGGGGTAAAAGGGGATTAACAAAATGACCAAAGAAAAAGATGGACTACAGTCTGTAATGGTAGAATTACAAAGGGCACCTATATGGTAAGTGGAACTGATAATATTGACAATGAGTGTAGAAACAAGGAGGTGGTTTTAATGTTGTGGCTTTAATGTTATAGTTAAAATACTAGTTAAGCTAAGTTACTGTATTAGTTATTGTTAGTTATTATATTAGTTAATCTGTTTATTCAGATGTTAAGTACTGCAGGAACAACCAGTGCCTTCTCATGTTCCTTCATTAGTAATGAAGCAAGGCATTATTACTTATTGATAATTACTATGTTCCTTCACAAGTTGTTGGCGCATAGTGACTAGGTTACTAAGGAACCATATTGTAAAGTGTTACCCATTTCTCTTTTCATTCATATGGAATTCATCCATCATGGATTAATGGTTACTAACAGGGTCTTTCAAAAACAAAGATCCCGAGGCTGGGTCATCTACAACGGAAACAGACAATGACTGTCTCTCTGACTGAGAAAACCAAGAAACCAAGTACAAACAGAAATAAGGAAAAAGTATTAGTACCGAGCCGTATTGCGCAGCAACATAAACAAACAAGTGAGCAGGATATTTTCAAGTGACAAAGATCTTTGTTCCTTGCTAAACAGGACACCAAGTGGGCTTCTTTCCAGTTGGGAAAAGTAAAAGGAGAGTTTTACCACTCATTCTGGAGCTGGAATTTTATGAGAACTTTATGAAATTGTTACCTTTCTGCTAAAATCTGTATAATATTTTTTGGAAGAGTTGTAGACATCTTTTCTCCACTTCATGGAAGCATTTCTTTGCATTCATTCTGGGGGGTGGGGGTGATAGAAATGTGAGCCGTCAAAACTATCCCGTCACATCTCATTGGGCTCTGGTGCTCGCAGCTGGTATAGACAGGTTGATTTATTATAATGTGAGCATTTTGGTTTTATTGTTGTCGCTTGCTTGTGCCATTTGCTTTTAGGACATATTGAAAGTGGCAGGAAAGGAAAAAGTTTGTCACTACACTCCCAAAGTTGTTTTTCAGGTAGATTATAGTGATGCCCAGGTACAGCAGGCCATACTTAATGTGAGCAATAATGTTAGTATAGATGACAGTGTTGGGATAATTACTCGAAAAGTAATCCATTCATGTTACTAATTACCTTTCACAAACTCTGCTGGGAATACATTACTTACTACTTTCTGCAAAACAAAAGAAATAAAAAAATACTTATTACTTCTGTGTTACTCTGTACCAAAAATCTCACAATATTGGCACATAATTAAGCTTGTTTTAAGCATATTTCTTTAAACAAACAAAATTAGCTGCTAATATAGTGAGATATCACTTACTCATACATGAGTTAAATAATCTTGTACTATTCTTACAAGAATCTCAAAATGAGCCTCAGAATCACTAAATCCACACCATGTAGAATATTTTCAGTAATACAAGTGATCAGATCAATTTGCTGTTGTCTAAAAATACTCCGCAATCATGTTCAGTGTGTCAAGGCCTTTATCATATCAGGGAACAGAAAACGGGTAAGTTGTGCTAAACACTTGGAGGTCTTTTCAAGTGAAGCTTTGAAGCCAAACAAATTATAATTGCAACCAAAGGCTAAGGAAGTATGCATTTCATCTAAATCTAATGAACTGAGCCAGATCTTTCGCAACGTTCGTTTCTTTAGAATACCATCTATGCCAGCACTTTGTAGGATGCTAAAGATGTCATCCAGCATCATCTTATGCCTGGCACACTCTACAGAATTTTAAAAATCCTAACCAGTGTTGAAAACGTGACAAACCCCACATATAATGATATTTTTCAACAATTTTCTTTCTGTTGTTGATCATTGTTAGTCTTCAAAGTCCCCCACAGTACGTGATCTGCTCTGAATTAAACACCACACACTTTCAGATTATGCTCTAGAACAAGAGTCCTGACCAGTGGTTCCCTTGCAGGAGTTTTTTGCAAACTAATGTGACTTTAGATCTAAAAATAGCAGGGCTATTGCTATGCTAGTGGCATGTGCTTTCTGGATGGAAGAAGCCAAGCAGAAGAGGTCAACAGGGCTAATAAGTGCAGTAACGCGAGCTTGAGGTGAATACATGTATACATACACACATTAAGATAAATTGTTCTCAATTTAGCCATGTACAGAACTTCTTTTGTACACACTGACAAGTTCAGCTTGGCTCTTATTGGTTGACAGTCTTTCAGGTATAATATTAACACTACGCATCACCAGAGACTCAGCATCCACCCCACACTACAGGATACTGAGTGATAAATATTGAACATGTAATATTTTCAGTTCACCATTGGCACGGCCCAACAGGACCAGGAGTAGATTGAAGGAGTAAAGATTGGATTATAGACACTCCACACAAGATAATCTGAGAAAATACCCATTTAAGATCAACCTGATACCGGGAGACCTTTTTTGCGATTGCTGGGAGGAGCAAATTGGCCTTAAAATTGGCCCAATTGTCCTGTAGTGTGGGCCAGGCATAACTCATTGGGTGAGTTTGAAAATGTTTAGAATTTTTAGTGTTTATTGTGTTGCATTATATCATAAACCAAAATCCAGAGGCTATTTTGATTATTTTATTATTATTATTATTATTATTATTATTATTATTGTTTAAGAGTCAAAGATAATGGCGTAGCAAGGGTGGATTACTCAGTTCATCATGTAATTTTTTGTGACTTCTACTGCTCATCAGCTCCTTGAACGTTAGCTTACATTAATAGATGTCAACCTTAGAGACAGTATATTACATTCACAGCTTTTAAATTGAATAAATTCACTGATACCTGTGTAGTATCTTTCTGTCAGTAAAATCATTTGCAAAAACAGCAGTTTATCCAGCTAAACAGCCTCTCACACAGTTAAATACACACATAAACTGAAACAGAGCGCGAGAGAGATTAACTGACAAGTTTTACATGATGTTGGATCATGAGATTGAGAGAAAATGTTCCACTAGCCATTAATGCACTAGCCCCACACAATGTGATTTAAAGAGAGATTTGCTAAGCAGGTTCGCCTCTACAAGCACATGTTTGAAACCTGTATCATATCACATAGAACATAGCAATGATGAGAGTGCTAAGTATAAATGCTATGTGTTCACAGGTTCGAGTGCCATCTGTGGAGTCTCGCATGACACTCTGCTTCCAAAGTGTAATTTAAGTAATTTAAGATATCTGTCCGTGTACAACATGTGCATGACAAGTTAACTTGATACTCACTCACCTGCAGTCTGATCAGATTACTGTTCAGGTCATTAAGACCATGAAAAACAAATCTGAGAGCAACATAATTACTTGTGCTGTGACTTTATGGGGTAAGCTGTATTACACTTTTTTTTTGTATCACAGTCTTTCTCCCAAACTGTGACAAAACCGTATTTTAATTGGGTAAACCATATGTTAACTAAAATAGCTACGCTAGCAAACAGGCACTCGCAATAAAACATATGCAACAGATTGTAAGTTCAATGAATAGCCACTATTTTACTCTAAAACAGCAAAGTAAGAACAGTAGCTTTTTCTTTAAAGCTGCTTTGTGACAATACCTGTTGTAAAAAGTGCTAAAATTTTACTTTGGCTAGGATCAGCTAGCCATTTAGTTAACGTCTGCTTCCTCAGGCTGAAGCTGAGTTATGAAGAGCAGAGATACAAGTAGGTTTCGGGAGGCAGATTTAGCAGCTGATAAAAAAACTTGTTTTCTTTAGTTCATTTGAAAACACCTGAAGATGACTGTGAAAGACTAGTCAAAGGTCAAAGACTATTCCATAAACAACACAATGGTTTTATAAGTAATACAGAGCTTAACAGAGGCATAGGATTATATATGTTTATATAGATTATTTTACATCAGCTTTGAACATGACACCGTCAGTCAGACTTTAGTTTCATTAGACAAAATTTTGCATTTACATTTGCAGAGTAGGTCTGATGTGTTAGTGCAAGCGCAGATTTGGACCAAAATGGTTTCGAAATAGCATTGAGCTGGCAGATTTCAAGTACCTCACCCTCCCTTTGCACCACTCTATCTGCAAGTCTTAGCATTTCCCAAAGCTTGTCAAAATAGCAACTGGGCAAAAACAGGCAAAAATGCTCTTTTTCTCAACGAAAATAGTAATACACATTAGTTACAGCAGTTCACCATTAGATTGAACTTGCATTAGCAAAAAAATAGGTCTGTTTTCTTCAAACCCCTAAACCTAATGGCATGAAATGTTCAGACTGGTTCTTGTACATACACACAGCCTATTATTATATAGAAAACATAAAATAAAGCCAGACTCCATATAATATATAAGGCAGACGCCAAATGCTTTATTAAACTTTTTCAAACTTTGCTTCTCTACAGTGTGGAGCGCTATGACCCCAGCAAAGATGCCTGGGAATTGGTAGCACCCATGGCCAATAAAAGGATAAACTTTGGAGTGGGAGTCATGTTAGGGTTCATATTTGTGGTTGGAGGACACAATGGTGTATCACATCTGTCAAGCATCGAAAGATATGACCCCCACCAGAACCAGTGGACAGCATGTCGACCCATGAATGAACCTCGCACAGGTAAGCTGTGTTAATTAAAAAGATGTGTATCCTTAAAGTTTCCATCCACCTAGTTTGTATTTGGATGCAATGTGAACATTTTCCCAACATACAACCCCCAATTGCAAAAAATTCCAAAGAAGTTGGGATGCTGTGCAGAATGTAAATAAAAACAGAATGCAATGATATGCAAATCATGTAAACCATATTTTTAAAGGAAAATACTACAAAGATAACATATCAAATGTTGAAACTGAAAAACTTTATTGTTTTTTGGAAGATATATGCCCATTTTAAATTTGATGCCACCAGCACATTGCAAAAAATGTTGGGAGGGGGGCATGTTTACCACTGTGTTTCATCACCTCTTCTTTTAACAACACTCTGTAAGCATTTAGGAACCTAGGAGGCCAACAGCTGTAGTTTTGAAAGTGAAATGTTTTCCCATTGTTATTTTGATACAGGATTTCAGCTGCTCAACAGTTCGGGGGCTCATTTCTTGTATTTTGCATTTCATAACCTTCCAAGTGTTTTCAATGGGTGACAGATCTGGACTTCAGGCAGGCCAGTTTAGCACCCAGACTGTTTTACTATGGAGTCATCCTGTTATAATACATGCAGAATGTGGTTTGGCATTGTCTTGCTGAAATAATCAAGGCCTTCCCTGAAAACGACGTCATCTGGATGGCAGCATATGTTGCCAAAACCTGTATACATCATTCAGCACTAATGGTGCCTTCACAGAGGTGCACGCCATGCCATGTGCACTAATGAACCCCATTCCATCATGAATACTGGCTTTTGAACTGTGCACTGATAAAAAGCTGGGTGGTCTTTAGCCCAGAGGACACAGTGTCCATGATCCTAGAGAAGGTGGCAGCATTTCTGGATCCTGGTTTCTTCTTTGCATTTTACAGTTTTAACTTGCATTTGTGGATGCAGCAACGAACCATTTTCACAGACAGTGGTTTTTGGAAGTGTTCCTGACCCCATGCATGCTGTTTTTAATGCAGTGCCACCTGAGGGCCCAAAGATTATGGCCAGCAAATACTGGTTTTCAGCCTTGTCTCTTGCATACAGAGATTTCTCCAGATTCTCTGAATCTTTTAATGTTATTATGTACCATAGATGATGAAAAGCAGAAGTTCTTTCCTATTTTACTTTGGGAAACATTATTCTTGAATTGTTGCACTATTTGATCGTATCATGTCATGTTCACAGAGTAGTGAACCTCTCCTCATCTTAACTCTCTCAGCCTCTCTGGGATGCTCTTTTTTATACACAATCATGTTACTGCCCTGTTGCCAATCAACCACCAGGTTTTTTTTTGCGTTACACAACTTTACCAGCCTTTTGTTGCCCCTGTCCCAACTTTTTTGGAATGTGTTGTTGACATCAAATTCAAAATGTGCATATATTTTTCAAAAAACAAGAAAGTTTCTCAGTTTCAAAATTTGATGTGTTGTCTTTGTACTATTTTCAATGAAATATAGGGTTTAAATGATCTCAATGGGGTAGGACAGAAATAGGACAATTTTAATTGATTTAATGGGAACTACATTTTGTAAAGATTGGTTATGTTTTTTAGTTATTTTTTTGTAAATACTGAACGAATCCCCCTTTCATGATATGATGTGTTTTCTGTTCTGGACTTCTGAACTAAAATTTAAGCAGTATTTACTTCTTTTTTTCAGGGGTTGGCTCTGCTGTTGTGGACAACTACCTCTATGTGGTGGGTGGTCATTCAGGATCATCATACCTGAACACAGTGCAGCGCTATGATCCCATCTCGGACAGCTGGCTAGACTCCAGTGGCATGATGTACTGCCGCTGTAACTTTGGCCTGACTGCCCTTTGACCCTGGGCACCTCTGTAATTTGTGTAGGATACTGTGTAAGAGAAGAGAGACAAAAATTGTTCGCATTTCTTTTGTCTACTCCCAATTCTTCTTTGGAACCGTGTTCCTCAGGAGGTGCCGTTAAGGATTTTTGGGTTCACAGTAGTAGAAGGAGTAAGACTGGAAAAGAGCTTGGATAATGTGAGTCCTTCACAGCTGTAGGGAGTCTGCAAAGCACTAGACAGAGGATGACAGGAAAAGTCTGTCCATTTTCGGTTGGAAACGACAGTTATTGTCTTCTTTTTTTAAACCTTAGACATAAAGGTTACAAGCAGATTTTTTCTGTTTCTTTTATCTTTGGGTCTATGCCTGTCTCTGATATGTATGCATGTCACAGAAAGAATGAATGTGTGTGTGTGTGTGTGTGTGTGCGTGTGTGCGCGTGTGTGCGTGCACGACAAGCGCTCAGGCACGTTGATGAACTCTTTGGAAGGGTTTGAAATGTCTGCATCTAAAGTGCTTCAAAAAAAGTGAAAAAAATACTCTCACTTAAAAGGGCTGTCTTTCTTTCTCTTACACTTAGTTTGACTCAACAATGTAGAATATATCCTCTAGTGCATCGCCTGTAAATGTTATCTGCACTGAGTTACTGAGTAAGGGATGTGGGTAGGTGTGCATTGACTGAATACACCACTCAGGCATAACATTATAACCACCCCCTTGTTTCTACGCTCATTGTCCATTTTATCAGCTCCACTTACTATATAGGTGCACTTTGTAGTTCTACAAGTACAGACTGTGGTCCATCTGTTTCTCTGCATACTTTGTTAGCCCCCTTTTACCCTGTTCTTCAGTGGTCCCTGGACCCTCACAGAGCAGGTACTATTTGGGTGGTGGATCATTCTCAGCACTGCAGTAACACTGATGTGGTGGTGGTGTGTTAGTGTGTTGCACTGGTGCAATTGGATCAGACACAGCAGTGCTACTGGAGTTTTTAAACACTCACTGTCCACTCTATTAGACACTCCTACCTTGTCAGTCCACCTTGTAGGTGTAAAGTCAGAGACGATAGCTCATCTGCTGCTGCACAGTTTGTGTTGGTCATCCTCTAGTCTTTCATCAGTGGTCACAGGACGCTGTTAGCTGGATATTTTTGGTTGGTGAACTATTCTCAGTCCAGCTGTGACACTGAGGTGTTTAAAAACTCCAGCAGCACTGCTGTGTCTGATCCACTCTGACCAGCGCAAAACACACTAACACACCACCACCACATCACTGTTACTGCAGTACTGAGAATGATCCACCACCCAAATAGTACCTGCTCTGTGAGGGTCCATGGGGGTCTGGACCACTGAAAAACAGGGTAAAAGGGGTCTAACAAAGTATGCAGAAAAACAGATGAACTACAGTCTGTAATTGTAGAACTACAGAGTGCACCTATGTAGTAAATGGAGCTGATAAAATGGACAATGAGCATAGAAATAAGGAGGTGGTCATAATGTTATGCCTGATCAGTGTATATTCATGTTCCACTTTGGTCTCTTAAGAAATCTTCCAAGTTCTACACAGCTCATCTCTTCCTTGGTAGCTGTAGAACAGTCATTTTTTTAACCAGTACAAACGTCCTATCAGTTTTTCCATTTTTTGTTTTTGTTTCCCGCCTTTCAACTTTCAGCACTGAATGTGACCATGCCTTTTTTTGTATTTTTTAGCCATTGTAAAGGAGTTTTAGAAAAATGCCATTGGTGCTAGTTAACAATTCGGGTTTTTGTCAGTGTCGTCTTGCAGTGTTTGGTTCTTTTAAATCTGTTACATGTTAACAGCATATTAACTGTTATTCTTTTCAGTGTTGGGATGAATATGCTCTGGCAAGTTGCCCTGCCCAATGATCTATTTATGTTTACCTGTGCTTCAAAAACAAATTTCTCAGAATTTCCTAATATAATGAACCGAATTAATATCTGTGTCTACTAGCTTACTAACTGAGTAAGACAAATACCTAATCATGAATAAGCTTGGTCTAAGTGACTTATGAGAGTGAATGTGAGAACGGATGGTAAAATATAATTAATATATATAATGACATATATAATTGATATATAAATCCTGTTAACTTACAAGTATATACTTGTAGGTTGCAACAGTGTCCTCCACTGACTACATTCATTCAGATACACATAGAAATGATTATACGTTGAAATTTTTAAAATAGCCACCTTGTGAAACACAATTTGAGAAGTTCATAACACAACCCACATTAGAACTATTCACTTTTTCATATCAGCTTATGAATTGAAGAGAAAGTTTAGTGTAAACAGGCAAAGAGCTTATCCAAGGCTTCTAATGATAATGAACTTTGCATGAATAAAAAGTGTATTTTCAGTAGCCGAAGAACCGGTTTTATAAAGTGGTCACGTGTATAAAAATAATCATAATTGAGTGAAGTAGATACAAGACGTTTTTGCATTAGCTGTCTTTTACATTTTTGCACCTTATGCTGTCTGATGCGTCACTTCTATTGTTCTTTTACAGAGACAGCTAATGCTAGCACTTATTAACAGACATTTAATTTATTTACATTAATTTATAACATTCCTAATTGTTTTCATGTTAAACATTTGACATGGAGCATTAAGGGATGTGTATTTCTTGTTATCTAAGGTGAATTTCCCAGACCCAAACTAATCATAGACTTGAATTTGGGTTAGATGATTATAAATCTGTCACAGAAATCTTTTTGAGAACAACTTCAAGTCTATTCCAACTCTTAGAAAACTGTTCAGTACATGCAAAGATAGATTCAGCAACACAAGACACACAGGTTTTCAAAAATTATATACATCATGATATTTCATTAGCATGAGAAAGCCACTGCTTCTAATACAAATTTAAGATGATAATTTTGCAGTAGCTCATTTGACAAATTCCATAAGAAATACACTATATGGCCAAAAGTATGTTGACACCTGTACATCTCACCCATGTAAGATTGTTTCCCATCGCATTCCAAAACCATGGAGATTGATTTGGAGTTGGCCCCCTTTTTTCAGTTATAACAGCCTCCACTCTCTCAGAAGACTTTCCACAACATTTTGGAGTGTGTCTGTGGGAATACGTGCCCATTCAGTCAAATAAGCATTTGTGAGGTCAGACACTGATGTTGTGAACAAGAAGGCCTGGCGGTGATGCCAGACTGTTGCCACAAAGTTCGAAGCATTTGATTGTCTAAAATGGCGGCATACTTTACACCACTCCATCTGACCGTTGGCATTGTGCATTTTGGTTTTAGCCTTGTATGCAACTGCTTGGCCATGGAAACCCATTTCATGAAGCTCCCAACTTTTACTGATGTTGCTTCCTGAGGCAGTTTGGAACTCTGTAGTGAGTGATGCAACAGAGGATAGGCTCTATGTGGACTCGCCAGCACTGCTTCATGGTTGAGCTGTTGTTGGTCCTAGACACTTCCATTTCACAATAATAGCATTTACAGTTGACTGGGGCAGATCTAGCAGGACAGAAATTTAACAAACTTGCTTGTGACAAAGGTGGCATCCTATGTTAAAGTCACCAAACTTTTGTTTAAAGTCAACAAGCTCTTCAGTATGACTCATTGTACTGTCAGTGTTTGTATGTGGCAGTTACAAGGCTATTTGCTTAATTGTATCCACTTGGTAGCAATAAGTGTGGCTGAAAGACCTGAACTAAATAATTACGATGGGTGTCCTCATAGTTTTGGCTATAAAGTATATGTTCTAAAATGTAGTTATCGTTGGGATTCTCATACTAAGCTTGTATAAAAACTATTGTGCTGTTTTGGACAGTTTTATTAAGGGCTTACATGTTCTAAAACGTTTTGAATGGGTCTTGTTATGTCACTGGTGTAAAGGCTCAAGTTGATCAGTACAAAATTGTCATAGAGGCATGAGATTGAACATACTAATGCATTGGGTGATTTTTGCACACAGGCATAGCTTAATACGGAGCTCTTCATTGCACTTACGTCATTTGATACCTTGAGTTGAAGACATTTTGTCAATGCAATAAGACCATTATCCCTTTTGTAATGTCCTCTCCTTATTGCCAAGACTGCTGTGACTGCAATGTATGACTTGTGTTTTTTCTTCTAGGATTTCAGGATCCTATGCTAAATTTATTTCATATGTCATTGAACATGTTTTCCTATATTCTGAATATTCAGTTTTTGCCTTAGGAATATAGTTTGTTGCTGACGGAGAAGAAATTAATGTAAAGGACCCTATGTTTGAATAAACTACTTAATTTTTCGTGATCATGGCCACAAAAACGGATAAATTATTTAGTTTTATTACACAAGGTAGCACTGAAACAAAGAAGCAAAAAATTTGTTGGTTAGATATGATTCCACATTCATTATTCTGTCTTGCAAATTATGATCATTCAATAGGATCATAATGTAAGGCATATAATTTTTAAGAGGAAAACAAGGAACATGAAGACATATGTCTTGGTTTAGCAATAAATAGTGCTGTTATTTATCCATGAGTAATAATGACTTTCTGTACATTTTTTAGAACTATAATTATTGGCAATGTAATTAAACATACAGCAGATTTATGTAATAAATTGATCTGGTCATGAAGGCGCAAATACTAGATACATGTGAGAAAAGAAACTGTTTACTAATAATTGTAATAATAATGTTAAAAGTCATATATAAAACTATTTCATCGTTCATGTGGTTAGAGCATTTAAAAGCTAGAAAATCACGCTGGCGTGATCTTGGATTTGTCATTCTTTGTTGAAATGTGTTGTTTGTTGCATGCAGTAATGACAATTTTAGTGATGTTTCTTTGAGGTGGTTTCATTAGTTCTTTTTTCACTGCCCAAAAGAAATGGCCATATATGTATCTTGTGTAATCAGCAACGTGAACCTGCAAAGTAAAGGGATGTATGTACATGGAAACCTTTTTTTTGTTTGTTTGTTTGTTTTTTTTTAGTTCTTAATCATGGCCTAACTACTCTCTTGCCACCACTCTCACCAAAGTGCTTGTTTTATGAGGGAACCTAGGTGAAATCAAGATCAGCGTTGGGCTCTGATTTTGTCCTGCTGTCTCGAGAGCTCTTTGAAACTGATGTCAATGTTAATCACCCAGTTTGTTTTTGTCCGTTTTTCATGGATGTGTCTGACTCCTTTCTGAAGTGAGGTGATTATCTTTTTTAACCTGTGGATTGTTACTGGACATGAAAAGAAAAACTTTAGACCAGGGGTGCCCAGCCCATGTCCTGATGATCCGCCACCCTGCGAAGTTCAGCTCCAATTCTAATCTAAAACACCTGATTCAGTTAATGAAGGTCTTCAATAGGATCTGGCTGTGTTCAAAACCAAATACTACCATACTAAATAGTATGTCAAAATAATACAGTAAAAATGCATTCATTAGTGTAATACATATAGTATGATGTTTTCTGAATATTAGAGCCAGGTATATTGAAACTAAACTCTTTAGGGTGGAAGATCAACAGGACCAGGGTTGGGCGCCCTTGCCTTTGAAAATAGATGCAGTATTTATTTTTTACAATTTTACAAGCACTGAGAGAGGATATGTTTTTGCCTGTTAATTTATCTGTGTGGTGCAGTTGTATCCAGTACAAAAATAAACACCTGCCTTTACAGGCTCCCAGATTTTGTTCTTGAAATGAACCTTTTAGCTAACTGTGTCTAAACACATCGGAATTAGACCTCCGCATTTAACCCATCCATGCAGTGAAACACCACATA